GATGATTTCAAACACTCCACTGATCACTTTTGTGGCACTTACCGCGGCGGTGCGTCGCTCCCACTTCTTGAAGTCGCGCCACACGTACTCGTGCAGCGGCACGTTGGGCACGACGACGGGGTCAAAGGGCGAGGTCTTGTAGTAGCCGTCCTCGGCGCTGAAGTGCAGGAACTTGTCCGTCTCGCTGACGCCCTGCGTCCGCTCCCGCTGCGCGCTGGCGGTACTCGTGGTCCGCTCGCCGCGGTTGGTCGAAATGGAGCGCTTGGCCGCGCTGCCCAAGGCGGTGGCGCTGCGCAGGCGCAGCAACTGAGCGGCTGGCTTCATGGTCTTTCACTTGCTTGTTTTGTTCAGTGTAGCGCAGAAGTGCTATGGGGGGCAAATGGAGCCGGGTATTTGTGTGCGATTTAGGGGTACGGAATTCACTACTGCTGCCGCTGCTGCTGCTGCTGCTGCCACACGTCTGCTGCTGTCGGGTGCTGAGACACGACTGGCGACGCCGTGCGGCGCTGAGAAAAGTAATGCCGCCGCCGCTGCTCACTGACTTACCAACACCAACAAAAACAACGACGCACGATCGCGTTGGCGGTGCGCGGTGTTGCTGTCCCGCTCCTCAGTACACTGAAAAAAAGAATAAAATGCATTAGTACAAAATGATCAGTGTTCCTTTAAAAACAAAAAGTTGAAATAAATTTTAAATTAGGTTGTATTGGGTGATATGAATAATTAAAGAATAATTTATCATACGTATGTATATATACTATAAAATTATTTAAAATCAGTTGAATAAATATTGCTAATTCTTACCATAATATAATTTAATAGTATTGATAAGCACGAATGCGAGAAGAAGAACATAGCAGTTAAAAAATATAACTTGACCCAAACCTCAGTCTGGTAAAACAATAATCATATTTAAATGACCGTTGCTCTAAACAAATACATGTAAATTTTTAAACAGTAGTGTTTTTAGGGCATTATATTGTTTTAATTATTTTGCTTAAGTCTAGTGGTTTCAAATGGATTAAAAAAGAACTGCCAGCAATAAAACTAAGACAGCTTAACCATTTTAATATGAAAGCAGTGCAGAGTTTTATGAAATAACTACCTTATTTTTCTCCGTGCATATGCTGCAGTGCGGTTGCTCTTGGCCCTTCTTTGGAATGCACTCTCCCAATATTCCGCTCTCCCTCTCAGAAGACAGTGGCGGCAACTGTAAATTGAAAAGAGAAACGATCTATCACTAATGCAATGCTACTTAAAACTGATCTAAAACTGTTGAAAAACTAACACAAAAAAAGGAATATGACAGAAAAAATATAATAAGTAAACTATAAACTATCTGCGTATGTTTTTATAGCCCACTCATTAGTCACTTGACATTGTTTCTTCGAGAAATTAGAGATACGACCATATAATTACACCTTTAGTTGTTATTATTGACACTTGAAATATCTCGAGTGAAGAGGTTGCCCCTCAAAGCAGTTCGGTTTGTTCCAGTGCACCCCTTTAGATAGCTCCCGTACACAGTGGCTGCGGAGCACTAGACCTGCATTCCCACCTATTTCGCCACCCTTGGAAACCCCCCTTTTCCAGCCCCTGGCTTATCGTTATCACGATGCAGTGGCTTCTAGATGTCTACGCATGACTTGCAGGCTTTTCCAGAGCTTATCAGAACAATTTCGGTATGGTGAACCTTGGTCACTGACTCAAGACAGCCTAATCCCGATGGAACACCTGTAGTGGGTGGGAGTGCAATAAATTGAAATTCATTCCCCCGAACACTGGTTATACTCATGAAAGGGGGAGTTTGTACTTTTAAAGTGCTAAATACAAAACGAAACAGTTTGTTGTTTGAACGTTTTGACTCATTAAACATGATTTTTAAGTTAATAATGCGGAACTATTCCATATAATGCGTGTGGCTAGACAGATAATTTTCCTTTTAATTTGATTTTATACAGGGAGCCTCAATAAATTAAAATTGTTATAAATGATTCAGAAATATTCGTCATATCACTTCGAATGGAACCCTAAGTCCGTATAAAAGTAGCTGACCGATAAGAGTCAAATAAATTGCTTTAAATTGTTATAACACATATATGTATGTTTAAGAACCTGGTTATTTTTAAGGCGGTTAAAGTGAAACTTGATAAGTTGTTGTCTCACCACGTCTTAGGTCATCATGTGAAGTTTGGTAACTGTACAGTAGCTGGTTTAGGAATAAATGATCTTCACACTTGACATCCTTTTCAGAACTGGAATCGAAAGTGGTCCTTGCATTAACAGCGGGGAGTGCATTCACCTTCGGCAAGTGTTGAATGGGAAACTCAAAACTTTTGACCAACGGAATTACCAGCTGGGGGAAATTCTGCGTTTGAAATGGACACTGTGTAAGACACCAACAAAATCCAAACAATCTCTGTAACACGAGCAACAAAAACAACAGCTCGCAAAGCCGTGGGTAACAGCAACAACAACAATTAGAGAGCAACGTAAGCAGAGCTCAAGGCCAAAAACGAGCCCTCTGCCTTTCCCCTCTCTCCCTCATCATTCTGATAGTTCTTTCTCTTTCTGTCGCCACCTTAATTTGCATGCTTCTCTCTTCTCCTCTTTCTCCCGCTCCCTCTCCCTCCCTCTCACTTACATCGATCGCGTTGCATTTGCATTGAGAGAAAAGTAAAAAGAGAGAGTTACAGTGGGCCTGATATCCAGTTTTATTTACATAGTATAAGGTATAGTGGAGCATTATGGATATCGTATACTTGTTATTCAACAGTTGGGTGCATTTCGAGCTTATCTTATGTACACTCGCATATAATGTGCTTATTTTATTCGCATAACAAATCAAACAGCATGTACAATGCACCACACACATTGAGTCTTTTGCACTGCCTCTCCCACATCCACAGTTGAGTTCACAATTGTAGCACCACATTCATATATTACATTAATAGTGTAAGGTGTCCCCAAATAAAAAGGTTTTATTGTAAAGAATAAATTACATATCTCTTTACATTTAATTCTAACCTAAAGATTTATCAATTTTGTCATGATATTTTAAGATCTTTGAGGTGAAAATCAAAACTCTCTTCCTAAGACAATTCTGTAAATCAACAGAATAATCAACAGGTTGTACCTTAAACTCACTGTTATCAGAGGAACATTATGGATAGACTTCATGATACAGAAATGCTAAAACTGCGAAGTCGACTGTGAAACCCATGCTAAATTTGTGCGTTTCGCGAAAACAAGTCGTCGTACTTTCTTGGCGCTGTTTTGTGTTGAACTTTGTACCCTGGCTCAAAGTTGCCCGAATCGTTGGGACCCCCTCCCTACCTTCAACCGCCAAAGAAGCGGGACCAAAACAAAACTTCGAAATGTTTATCCAAGCAAACCAGTTTTTCCCGACTTCATTAACGTTGTTGCATCTCAGTTTTTGGTTTATTTTTTTTTGAACTTTTTATTCACTGCAGCCAGCTCCAACTTGTTTATGGTTGTTATTTTCGAGCTGGGTTATGGGGTAGGATTTAGATTTCTCGGGTGTAGGGTTCACATTTTTTGGATGCTTTATCAGTTTTTATTGGGGGGCTTTGCCACAGGTTTCGGTTTTTAGTTCTAGTTTCCTCCACTGTCACTCACTCACACACCTGCAGTCTAATTTGGTAATCCGCTGTGCTCAGCATTCGTTTGAGAACTGCCACCAACTTGATGCTCTCCCCAAAGCGAGGGGGGGGGGGGGGTCTGCCCCATAGTGGTTGCTTTTGCTCTCTCATCACACGAGTGAGACAGAGGAAAAGAGATTGTGAGGGTGGCATCGACAGTGGTGGCAATTCAGACAATTTTTGACCATTTATTTTATTTTAATTTATTTTAAACCTAGGTAAATTTAAGTTATGTCCTTTTTCGGGACCTTAGTTTTTTGACTGTGAACGTACCGATATACGATATGGTATTTATTTGTACTTATAATTTAATCCCAGTAAACTTATCATATACTATTTATTTTTTATAATCATACATATCATTAACGCTATTATTTATAATAATTTTAAAATAAAAGAGTAAGTATTTAAATTAACGTAAGATAAATTAAGTGGACCCGTAAGAATTACTTTCACTTTCATATGTGTAAGACAAAATATCATTAAATTCTTAACCCGACTTTTTATACTAATATTGCATTAAAAGCCTTCTCAAACTTGAAAGGGTTTTTCTTTTGGAGTAAACGTAAAGTGATAAGGGAAAGCTATACAAAACAATTTAAGCCATTTAATGTAGAATGTAGATTGCGCTATGTTTTATACATATGCGCAACCTGCTGGTCAAATATATTTTAACAGTATGACCTCCAGATGGTGCTTTGAATTCATCGAAATTTGGAATGGTTCTTATTAGTGGCTTTTGCAATGCAATCGATAGTACCCGGTAATTTAAAAATTTTGTTACTTCAAAATATGGTTACTGTTTTTTATACTAGAAAAAACTAGTTACTCGGAAATGAGGTAAGTTTAACTTAATATATATTTTTGTGGTCTAAAAATAAACAATCTTTTAGATGAGGTTTAAGTACAAGCACTTTTATTCAATCTAAAAACCCCTTGATATTTTGAAATCCTAAAAAGGTTTTAAAATATGCTGTTTGATATTTCTTTAGTCCCGTACATACATAATAAAAATAAAATTCCTATTTGTCATAGCCTAATTTTAGACATAATCATGTATTACATATTTCAGAGGTTTTAAGCCTTTAAGCCCATAGTGCACTTATTTCAAAATCGATAGCCAAGACGCGCCAGTACCGTTAGACCTACGCATGCCTAACTAATCGATACATCGATACCATCGTGAGTGGCGCCACCTGGCGCCTGACTGTTAAGCAGGGCTGTTACAAGCAATCGATATTTAAAAACGGGAAAACTATCCACGTAATCGGCGCGACCATCGATGTTTTTCCAGCTCTAGTCGCGCGCAACTCACTCGTAGTCGACTTTTAGGTGCGTAGTCGCGAAAAACTATGAAGACGCAACTCTCGCGTCGAGCGGTCCTCAGAATCCGGGAGTCGTCCTCCAGTTCAAAAAATCAGCAAATAAATCCAACATTTCTGTGCGCCATTCGAAACCGTTTTTTTTTGTAATTTTTTGTCTCTGCCGATGTTGCTTGTTTTTTTTTTTGTAAATTACAGTGGGGCTGTGGTGGTGGTGTTGTGAGGGGGGTGGAAAATCGTGAAAGGGGGGGCGCGCACGTGTCGACGTCGCAGTCGGCGTCGCAGTCGGCAATTGTTGCACGCTGCTCCTCCGCGTTTCTTGTTTCATGTTCTTTCTTGTTTGTTGTGTGCTTCTTCGTGTCCCGTTAATGGTTTCTTCTTCTTCTCCTCCTACTCCCCCCACCCCCACACACAACTGCAGTGCAAAGTGAAATGCGAAAAACGCGTCGCAGAGTAATCACATCGCAAACACAGCGAAGGCAGATAAATTAAGAGAATTGAAGAATCAAGCGAAAGCCAGTGAAGAATCGAATGGAAAGGAAGAATCGGAATCGCAATCAGAATCAGAATCAGCGGAATTCGAATCGGAATAACAGTAAACACATATAACCACCATTCAAAAGCAATCAAAAAAGCAACCAAACAAACAACAACAACAAAGCAACAAAAGGTAATCACAAAAAGAACGAAATATTGTGTAATGAAGTTGAATTTCTTTGCCCAAAAAAAAAAAAGTAAGAAGAGGGAATGCGAAAGTGATACGCAAAGAAAGTGTGACAGAGCGAGAGGGCTAGTAAGAGTGAGTGAGTGAGAGGGCAGAAAGCGGCATAAACACACTTCTAATTGTAATTGTTGTCTACTGCCGCTCTGCCGGCGTCGCTGCCGCCACTAAAAGTTTTTCCTGGCAGTGCGACAGGGACGGCACAAACGGCCAAGTTTTCCCCCAAAAAGAAAATGTAAGGAAAACGCAAGGAAAAAAAACGGAAGTGAGCCAGGCAGTGGGAGATGTGGAAAAAATGGAACATAATAAGTTAAATTTGCGTGCTCGTTGATTCATGTTTTTCTTACTTATTTATTTATTCAGCTTTTGTTGGTTCTTTATTGCTTTTTTAATTATTTGTTTGTGTTCCCTCTCATATCATTGCGGTTTTTTTTTGTTCTCTTCTTTGTGGAATGTGTGTCAGCCAGCAAAAAAATGAAATGCGCAATTATGTCAGCCACTAAATAAAGCGAAATAAGTCCTGCCAACTACAACAATTGCTTTCTTTTCAAGTGCAACCAACACACTAACACTTACACCCGCACACACACACACACACCCGCACTTTGCGGTTGCATAAGTGTCAACCGCAACACACGCGTACAGTTTGACAGCCACTGGGCTGGGCAACTTCAACGGAATGCGAAAGAAGGTCCTTTTTAGGTGAGCACCAAAAAAGTGTGCTACTAAATTGGTTCAACGAAATGTACATTTTATAGTGAGCCCAAAAGTGGGCAATAATATTTGAAAGTATTAAAAAGGGACATCAATATTTTGTAGCCGTCTTTTAGGAGCTTTCAGATGTATGCAAAACCTTCAATATAATTAAATATTAGGATATCTCCAAAATTTTAGTTGTTGATAAACAAATAGATATTTAAATATTTATTTTTAACTCTTGCTTTAAAAAAAAATGATTTATATTTTTAATATAATATTAAATTCAACAAAATGTACATGTTTTAGATAGATTAAATTCCTGAATTGTTTTGCATTGAACATTTGTATTTGTTTTTTTATATTATTAGGACCACCTTTCAGGGCGCTATTTTTGTAATTTATTAATATTCTAGTGCTGAAAGCTGGAAGTTTGAGTTCAGTCAAACTTGGAAACTTGGAAAGACACGACTTCTGAAAGTTCGAGTTAGAAAAGTTCCACTGTACAGGTGGAAAAGGGGTGATGGAGGGCGGTTTGCGTTAGTTGACATACACACAAGATTGATATTGAAGCCCTTTACACCCACACAGGCGCAAAGGAACAGTCACACACACACACACACACACACACGTACAGTGAGTCACAGCAACAGGAAACGGGTAAAACGTAAAACTACTTAAATATTTAAAGCATTTGATGCCGTAGGAAAGGGGACGATAAAGGGGGATGTGAAATTGAATGGTTCCGCCCACTTTTTGCGCCCGAAAGTATGCAAACAATGCCAAATGGCACCAACACAAATGTCGAGTAAATCTTTAGCAAGTTTTCCGCCCGCCCAAGAAAACGCGAGAAAACCCACAAAAAAAAAAAGAACAACCAACTTCACAAGAACAGGCCAACAATTTTGTCACGCATGTGTGGTTGGGTGTGTGTGTGTGCTGGGTGTGTGTGTGTGTGGGCCAAATGAAAAAGAGCCAAAACATTAAAAATGTACCAGCCACCGCAACAACAACACAAATATGTACAAAAATAACAAGAATAACATGAATAACAGGAATAACCGAAAGAAAGTCCAAGCTGACGGGCGCCGCAATTTGCTGTTAACATAAAATAAATAAAAATAAAAAGAAGCTATACACATCTAAGCCCACATGCATAGTATATACCTAGATTTATTTTGGCAGTTGACTTTTGGCTCTCACTGTTCCCCTTCCCCTTGGAATTTTCACGTCCCCACTTTGCAATTTTCAATTTTACTTTGCGCATATTTAATATGACAAATCGTAAATGGGATTCGCCACACATAGAGCCCTATTTTTGCACTGAAAGAAAATATATTTTAAAATTGTTAGCAGAGCCAAAACTACTTAAAATATAAATCTAAATATAATCTTAGTACTTTACCTTTCACTAAGTTTATTTTATTAGATAGGTTATCAAAGTATAAAGTATAAAGTTCTCATAACATTCTCATTATTTTAACACTGAAAGGAAATATTTTTTTTGAAGTATATACATATTTACTCTGAACCAAAACTACATAGAATATAAATCTAAATAAAATCTTAGTAATTTATCTCTCACAAGGCTTATTTTATTTTCCTGAATCAAAACTACATGGAATATAAATCTAAATATAATCTTTGTAATTTATTACTTACAAAGTTAATTTTATTAGTTGGGTTATCAAAGTAAAAAGTATCAATCTTTCCTGACAGTGCCTTTTCCCCTGCTTCACTTTTATTGCTCCAAGTTAATGAAGTGTAAGTTGGTTGGAGTGGGAAGGCGTATATCCTGGCTAATCAATCAAGCCGCATCAATAAACCCTTAAACAGATTTGCAAAATAATTTATACTCTTAGAAAAAAATTAAACATTACGTACTGCAAGGGGACTTAAAATATTTGCTGTCGGATTTCCATAAAATATGTGAAATGTTTAGCTGCCACCCGCCGCTATTCTTTTTCCCCTGACCCTCCGCAAATGTTTTATGTTTGACATCCGCTGGCATCCGTGCTGCCTTGCCGTGGCTTCCGTTTCCGGATGGCGTTGCATTCCCCCGCGCTCCTCTCTCCCCCTTCCTAACTGCATTATCGTTCTGCCTGCTATCTACACTGAGCGGAAAAGCGACCATTTATATGACAGTTTGCCATGATTTACTATTTTTATTAGCCATTTATTTAGTTTTGCAAGCAAACTCGGGTTCGAAAATAATGTGTGGCGCCAATGGCTTGTAAAACTAGTTTGGTACCTCTGTCTATTGAAGTTTCAGAGAGTTAAAAGCAAGGTGTCGAGAAGTAGGCAATTATAAATTAGATTCCTTTTTTCGTAGCCTACCTTTGGGAACCTTTAAATACAATAAATACTTGTTTTCTAGGCTTCACATAACAGATTACTTCTTAATTTATTTTGAATTTTCATTGTGCAGCCAGCGCTGTACAGTTGAAAACTAGTTTGGTTCCTCTGTCAAATGAATTTTTAGAGAGTTAAAGACAAGGTGCCTAAAAGTATGCAATCAAAAATTAGTTTAAATTTTTAATAGCCTACTTTTGGGAACTTTCCAATCGAACAAAAGGGTATTTTTCTAGGCTTTATCTAGAAAATTCCTCCTTAATTTATTTTGATTTTTCTTTGTGCAGGCAGCAGCAATTATCGCTGTACAGTTGAACCAGCAGTAGGACCACCTGCTGACTTCCTGTCAGATTGTCAGACTGTTTGGCTTGGCTTTTGGCCGTGGCTGTGGCTGAGGCTTCTTTGCCTGGCAGTTGCGAGGACTCGCTCCTCGCGTCCTTGTCCTCGTTGACCTTGTGCCCGAGATCTGGCTGTCGTATCAAAACAAGTTTATTAACATTCCACTGGCCATCAAAGCAGTGCTGTAGCCGCCCCTTCTCAGCCCCCTTCTCCGCCCCTGGCAGTTGGCAGGTGCCCATTAGAGGGGGGAGGGAGGTTAGAACGGACAATTACATTTGTAAAATGTGGCCACAGTTTGGCAGCCATTGGGGCGAATGGGCACGCCGTCCTGTCGCCATAAAATTGGAGCAAAATCCCTAGCCAGCTTCCCCGGAAAAACAGAACCCAAAAAGCTGGAAGCCAGGGCTGTCTATCTTTTATGGTTTTTTAAAGATTTCTGTTATATGAAAACTTTATTTTGATTATTTCCTAAAATTCAAGTTTATTTATGATTGAGCTTTATGGAATTTTAACAAAAAAAATATGTTTTCGATATTTCTTAGTATGCAAGTATATTTATAACTGAGCTTTATGTAGTTTCAGGAAAAAAAAGTGTAGGTACTTTGCTAGAGATTTAAAATCTCCTTAAAGGGTGTCCAAAAGTATGCAATGATATCCGACAATTTTTAAAAGCATGCCAGCTTTTAACGTATTTTCAATCTTGAAGCAAATACATTTGGATTGTTTTATATATTTTTGACAGCCCTACCTGAATCCGAATCTGAAGAAGCTGGAAAAGCGTTGGGAACTCGCCAAAGCACGTGCGCAATATGTAAATTTATTTATTTCTCCGTTGTAGCTGCTCCTCAACATTTTCCTCCTTTTCTGCTGGTTTTCCCCAGTTTTTCCCCAGTTTTTGGCTTTTTGGTTTCTGCTCTTCTCGGCCCTTGGCTTGATGTTGTTTTTATGTTAATGTGCCCGGCCGAATGTGAGTGTGTGCGGGTTAGTCCCTAAGCTGTTTGTGTGCCATAGTATCTGTGTGTCTGTGGGGCGCACACTGCTCCTGCTCCTTGAAGATCTTCCCTCTCATGTGCTTGCTCATTGCTTTTAATAGCCAACAACACGCCATGCATTAATTTATGAATTTCGTGTTGTAGCCGACTGTTCTGCCGGGCTTCCAGAGGCGGCAGAGGCGGGCGTGGCCCTTCCGCCCGCCCGGAAAGCTTTTAGCCAGAGAGCCAGAGCCAACAAGCCGCACACATAATTAAAAAAAGAAAATATAGGCAGTCTACAAAAATGGCTAAGAAACAAATCAATTTTCTTCATCAGTAGATTAAATAAATTATTATCTGTAGCTGCCAAATAGTATATTTCAATTTGAATTCTGAATTTTGAATAATAAAAGGTTCAATTTACCAGACAAAGGTCATTCAAGTTCAAAATGTTTTTTAATATCCACATAAAAACATATTATAAATTCATTATGCGATTTTTTTTTTGCTAAATTGTAGAGTCTATTTTACGATATTATCACTTGATTTGAAAACTTTGTTTTGCATTGCAATCATTACGTCCATACATTT